CTGTTACTGTACAGCAGATTTCACTTTTCATTTTAACGGCATATAATAAATACTCGTATATCGTCAACAACTAATATAAATTCGTCTAAAAACAAATAATGGTCAGTAGAGACCGTGACGTCACAAAGGGAATTTATGTATGCAAATAAGAAGCTAATGAGGAGTCTCGTTTTAAAATACACAAAAATAAAGTTGCCCTCGACTGAGTTTGAAACGCATTTTTTCCTTTAAAAAAATATTTTATGCTTAGAAACATAAAAATTAATAATATTGATGTACCAATGAATGATTTTAGGCGAGAAAATAGCAGCCATTTCACAGGCACTTTAAATATCAAGAAATTAAGTCCGGAGACAAGCATAATTCTGTGTTAGTCTTTTAAGCTAAGTATACCAGAGATGTGAGCAGTATGTGACAGGACAATAACTATTAAAAAGATATATTACAGTAGAAAAAGCCAAATACTGAATTATTCCAAATCATTAAAATATCTTGATTCTATTTCTCTATCAAACAGAGTCGATAAATGCCAAAATAAACTTGATTAAGATTAAGTATGAACAGTGACAAGTTTCCGGACGAATTTTGGTGAGCGTGTCAACAGCAGCACTGCTTCACATGGGTCACGACTGTTTCCGTTTTGGCACGGTATGACAAGGACTCGTGTAGCGAACTTTCTAGATCAAGTGCAAGTAATAGTATTTATTGGTATAGCACTGACTTAGGAAAGTACAGCCGTAAGGTCATGGTGAACAAAAAATTGAAAAAGATTTCACAATAAAAAACGATCGTATAAAGTAATACTAAATCAGAAGAACAAAATGTGTCTCTATTTTTAGACAGTGGTTGCCTGTCCGAAATTTACATTGTTTTTTCACGCAACTTATTAGTGTCGAATGAAAAACCTTCAATTTGAATGTTGTATTTTGGGGATTTTTTTTAATTTGTGCTAATAATTTCGGTTTGATTAATTTGTGTTAATTGTGATTTTATTTCTTATACCATTTGCTATCCATCTATTTATAATAAGTGGACAGCTTCATTTAGAAAGTGTTGTTCGAAATCATTACACGGTTTTAATATTTGATCATTTGTTTTTTAAAGAAGTACACCAATTAAAAGGATATTCGTTCAAATTTATAAATTAGGAGTTTTTCTAAAAACATCTAAAGGATATCGGCAGTAGTTACCATAGTGACATCACGTACACATGGTTGGTTCACGCGATGTTGTAGTGTATTACAGGGATTGTTTACTAATTGTAGAGGGGGCAAGAGGATAGCTGGTAAATGAAAAAGACATTTTACGTTTTTACAGGAAATAAAATGAAAGTTTCATTTACACTAAAAAATAGGTTTTATACTCTGCAGATAAAGCAAATTCATAATTACATTTTGCATTTTTATAATATATTTGATAATTTGTGTTTAAGAATCAAAATTGGAAATTGCGACCCTCATTGTATTCAGTAGAGACAATTTCGCAATGTTTTAATCTTTGAGACATATCCCCGGTAATCACGCTACAGTCATTGCCCGATTACGTTTCACATGTTTATTGTAAGTATGTAATATTTTGTAATAGAAGTGAACAGTCGGCACCATCGTCGATGGACTATACGCAATGAGATGATGTATATTCCTTTGGGTCGAACCTAGTATTGCTACAGTGTAAGTGTTATTCGCCAAGCAAGTCGAAGTCATTGCATTACTTGCGTAGCAGTTTCATGTTCCTAGATGCCAATACCATAGATCAGAGTAGTAATCAATTAATGTTGGCGGGTTGCATATTTTCGGATTTTAGACATGTTATTTACAAAGAGGTGGAATGTGTGGGACTGTCATCTTACTTAACTCCTAAGATACTTCACTACTTGATTTCACGTTGTGTTTTATTACACACTTTTGATAATGCTGTACCCACTTTTGATGGTTTTATATAGTTTATGTAATTCAGTAATTTTAGGTTCAACATAGAATTTCTTGGGTTTTTGTTTATTTATTTTTTTGTTATCTTAGGAATGAACCGCTATAAGTACTAGTAGATAATAGTTTTCAAAAAGAATAAATTATCTATAGTTCTGAGACTTTCTCGGAAGTCGAACTGAAATTGTGAAATATAATGGTTTTCATTTAGCTAATTTTAGAATCTTGTATTTAAAGCGCGGTGGTCGTCACGCAACGCGTGCTCGAATTTCATGTAAATAAACAATGTATTTTACACGCGTTGTATACGTCGCTATGAGTCCCATATCGAGCAGGACGCGGCACGATGACTGTCGCCTTTTAATGCGCTTGTAAACAGTTTCCCCGGACAACTAGATATGGAAATTCTCTTCTGGTTAGATGAATTTGATTTAGAACCTGATTTGTGGTTTGGGAAAATTAGGCTTGAACTCTAAGATTCAGGGAATATATGAGATTAGTAGCATGGACGTACTAGAGTTTGACACTGCACAGTGATTCACACCTGATAAGACGCATTGTCTTTCTATTGTACTCATCTTACATTTATGAATAGGCAGACGTACTTTCATCTTGGCTGAGTTGCCAAGTTGATTTTTCACGACAAGATTCGAATCTTAAATTTTATATTATATTGGGTCAAAAAAAATACAGACCTTGCCTGTGAGCTGGTGCAATGTTAAGTTGTAAATCAAAGGTTTAACGCAGATCCGTATGTTCTAGGCAAGTTTACGAGCATGTCTGTACCGTTCTTCTGCATTTATTAACAATTTTAATTTAATATTGCCAGTAAACCCGGTGTGAGCGGATGACGATTTTTTTTTATCCGATGTTCAATTCGAGTGAAATTTCCAGATGGCACAAAGCTCAAAATGGTCGGAAAAGTTCGGCCGCCGTAATTCGATGTTAAAAATGGACTTCTTTAACATTAGCTTTCACGTTCATGGTGGGCTCTCGCGAGAAACAATACTGCTGTTCGTCCTCTTCAGGGACGGCTGAGTCGACAGTTTCAATGTCTTCAATATCAAAATCATTATCGTCTAGTTCTAAAATGTCGGGATCTACAAAATCCGAACCGAAACCAAACTTTCTCTAGTGCCTGTTCGTTGCCATTTTGTTTTCTCTTGACGATCGTAAACAGATCGTCGGGGGCGTTCGGGACAAAACGAAGATGAACCGAGCTATAATCGGGCGTGTTCGTGATCGTTTCCCGTGGACAGGAAATTATGCAGACACGATCCGGATTAACAGTAATCTAGTGGCGGCAACGCACATACATCAAAGCGAGTAAACACCGTGCAGCGTCCATCTCTAGTACGTCCATGCATGGAGCTAAAATAAGACTTTTAGCTCCATGGTCCATGCATGGAAGGTACTTAGTACCTTCCATGGTCCATGTTAGTAGACAAAGTTGAATGGCAAGTAAACAAACTAGGACAGTTTCAAACATGGCCAGTATTAGGGACGACGTCAAAAGATCGATGTCGGATAAAAAACTTAATTCTTTTAGTTTTTTTCCAAACCCCCCTACCCCCCACTAAAACTTAATTGATAAATATTGGTCATGGCGTCAGACTACATTCACCATTAAATACAAATTGATAATCGGACAGTAGTATTACATAGCAGTTGGTTGTCGGGTGGGTGTAAAAAGATTTTACAAATGCACCTCATTTGACGCACAGATTTACACTCGAACCAAACCATTTTTCTGTTTTTTTCCTGTTTCGGTTATTTCTGTCCATAATTGGATAGAAAAAAAACGAACTACAAATACTCAAAGATTTTTTTGACTTCATTAAAAAATAAAATCGTTTTTGTAGGATGGGAACTTTTTAAGGTCAAAACCCCCACCCCCAAACTAAAGGAAATAAGTTTTTTTATCCGACATCGATCTTTTGACGTCGTCCCTTAGTAGCTTCAAAGCATTCAGTTATTGAAATCGCCCTCATTCGACAAAAAAGCGAAATGTGATAATCCGGAAGTGATGGAAACTTGAGACGAAGATTGCGCTGGTTGATCACAGTACTTGGCCCAGTAGACATACGGGCATGTGCAATTATGTAGATCAAGACAGGAATCTTTCTTCAAGACAACGAATTTTCGCCCGGGGCTACGGAACTCTATTATTCATATTCACTCATATCTATAAGAAGCAGTGCAGCCGGAGAACGAGCGTTACTTTATATCGGCTGCTTTTTGCGGGGCTCTGTGTTTGATCTGGATTATGGATTCTTCCACAACGATAAAAGACATATCCACTCTACCAACTGTCTTTGAGACAAAAAAGTAAGAACAACCATACATTTGAACAACTAAGAGTCTAAGGGATAATGTGAAAGTTTTTCTACTCCCCACTTTCCAAAGGGGCTAGACGATTTATTTGACGATGTTTGAGTTTCTAAAAGTATAACTCCTCACCACGTCTTTTTTTCGTGCTATGTATACGTGCTATGGAGGGGGGGGGGGGGGGGGCGTATTCCCGACATTCTCATTTGTCGTGGGACATCATTACTTTCGAGTATATCGCCCTCTATGGCAGAATATCAATATAATCTTGAAATGATAAATCCTACCTGATAATTGATAATACTAAAGGTGTTGATGTTTTTTGAGGCAATTGCTGAATGGATTATAATAATATAATAACAATATTATAATAATCTGCAAATAACCAAAAACAAATCACAAATCTTGCTAAAAATTGACATCCAGCCATCAAATTCTTACTGCCTTTAACGACAGAAGGTGTTTAGGCAGCTTCAATCTTGCTATAGCCACTGTGAGTAATTTTCAGATAAAAAATAGCCACAGCCTTCTTCATTCAATTGCACAAATATGATTCTGTGCACTTGTGCGAAGAAGAATATTTGTTAAAGGCCACTGGCCCATTTCACAATATACATGGAATAATAAATACATAACTAATACTTTCCTGAGGTCAAAAGTCACCTCATGTTAATACATTCTTGTCTCAGAATTTGTGCTTTATGTACAAACATTGCTAGTTTTGTGATTATTTGTTCAGATTTATTTGACATAATGGAATAAAATTTTTCTAATGTTGAATAAGTATATGACCATAGGGGTAAAAAAAATTTAAAACGAAGTGGTATTCATCCTCTATTTCAAGGGATTCACATATTTTACATATTTGCTGTTCTACCTCCAGTCCCACAAAACACTCATATAGTATATAGTAAACAAGTCTTAAGCATAAGCATAGTCATTCTACTACTACTAATCCATTAGTATTAGAAGATCCCCTGTGTTGCCTAAACCGAGCTATGTCCTTGAAAGTAACGCACAACTCTTATACACAAGTATACAGGTATACAAACACAAATGTTTGTGCGTGGAATTCCATTATGTTATTTTAATGTGTGAACACCCCATAGATCAGTTATGCAAAAAGTTCTTGTGAAACTAGGATTCTGTCAAAATAGGTTAGAGAAATTCACTGTGAATCACTGTAGAATAATTACCGGTAAGCTCAAAAATAAAAATACTACTCAAGCTTCTAGATAATTATAGATTGTGGTGTATTTGCAAACCAAAATTTGGTATATTTTTAATTTCTCATTGGTTTCACTGTGAGTGTGTGAACATTAAGCAGAAACCTGGGGGTAAAACATGGTATTGTCTTGAATGTTGTATTTAAATCTTACCTTAGCAGAACAAATTGAAAACTAAGCAAATACACTTATTTCAAACACTACTGATATGTGTATACATGTATAAACTTTTTATTACATTATGTATTATACTACTTAAAAATATTAATGACGCATTCGTAAATAATTGCAATAATTGTATTTAAATCAGGAAACAGAAAATAATTAACAAATCTTTACTGAGGAAATGGAAGATGTATTAACAAAACTAGTCAGGATATAAGCATTGCTGAGTGAGTGTCAACATTTAAAATCATGCAACTGTAAATAAACAGTTGCTAAACAAAGCTCTACTAGAAAAAATCAACAAACACCACATCAATTTTGATAAAAGAAGCTAAAAGAATAGAATAGGAGGAATTAAGACGAAGAAAAACTTTGAGGTAGATCTGATATGTACAACAATTGAATAAAAGAATACAAGTCTTCACCACATTCCTCAGAAGGCTTGCTATCTTCAAATTTTCAATAAAGTTGATTAACATCAAATTTTACCAATAGAATTTTAGCTAATAGAAGAGGGTTCATATGCACTTGATGATGAATGCACTCTGACCATGCATAATTACTTTTGCCATCAAAACTAAGCTGAGGACGAAGTATTTATTATTTTATGCTAAAATGAAATTTTGACCGTGGCTTGGAATTAGACAAGGTCATACAAACATTGTCACATCAGTCATGATTGCTATTTGACGCCCCCCAAAAAAGAAAGCAGAACCTTAAAAGAGAGATGTAGTGATGGCCAAATTAGAGAATTTATACTAATTTCTTATTGTTGATAAAGTATTATATTTTATTAATTTTGTTTAAATTATATTTTAAATATTTTATGCTGAAATGAAATTTTGACCGTGGCTTGGAATTAAACAAGGTCATACAAACATTGTCACATCAGTCATGATTGCTATTTGACGCCCCCCAAAAAAGAAAGCAGAACCTTAAAAGAGAGATGTAGTGATGGCCAAATTAGAGAATTTATACTAATTTCTTATTGTTGATAAAGTATTATATTTTATTAATTTTGTTTAAATTATATTTTAAATATTTTATGCTGAAATGAAATTTTGACCGTGGCTTGGAATTAAACAAGGTCATACAAACATTGTCACATTAGTCATGATTGCTATTTGACGCCCCCCAAAAAAGAAAGCAGAACCTTAAAAGAGAGATGTAGTGATGGCCAAATTAGAGAATTTATACTAATTTCTTATTGTTGATAAAGTATTATATTTTATTAATTTTGTTTAAATTATATTTTAAATATTTTATGCTGAAATGAAATTTTGACCGTGGCTTGGAATTAAACAAGGTCATACAAACATTGTCACATCAGTCATGATTGCTATTTGACGCCCCCCAAAAAAGAAAGCAGAACCTTAAAAGAGAGATGTAATGATGGCCAAATTAGAGAATTTATACTAATTTATTATTGTTGATAAAGTATTATATTTTATTAATTTTGTTTAAATTATATTTTAAATCATCAATCCTACACACATGAAAACTGGAAGTATTCTGAATAATGACCAACTCTCCCCGCAGGTTACCAAATGCAGAAAATTCTATGGCAACTGTAGCCAATGGTTACCTAGGTACCATAGTTTATAGTGAAAATCTGTATCTAAATGGTTTTTATAATGGTAGAGGTCTGAACAGTCATCGAGCAAAAATACCGTCACCTTGCAATGTTCGAGTGTCTCTGCCAGTGTTGCAGTGTGAAGAGATCTACCGACTTGATGTTAAAGAAGGTAAATTATTTATTTGTTTTTATTGCTGAAAGCTTCACACTAGTTGGCTGTTATGTAGTCATGTGACATGAAAGAAAACATTATACTGTTTAATTTTCTCTGCTCAGAATTTTTGTGATTTGAGTGATGGTGTTTGATGGTGAGGACAAAATTTAATGAGCCCCGCTGACGGTCACTGTGACTTTCAAGAACCCCAGTGAAAACTGCTGTGACTTCCTAGAACCCCAGTGAAAACTGCTGTGACTCCCTAGAACCCCAGTGAAAACTGCTTTGACTCCCTAGGACCCCAGTGAAAATAACTGACTCCCTAGAACCCCAGTGAAAACGTCTGTGACTCCCTAGAACCTCAGTGAATATTAATGTAATGTTCTACGATCCTACTGCAAGTTGCTCAGATTCAATATACTTGATTTGAAAACAATTTCTGACGATACAGTTTGTCAATCTTCAGCTTTGTTGGTAATTTTGTTGGCTGATGTTATTGAGACATTTTAGTGCAAACCAACAATATTATTCACAACCGCTACTGGGGTATTCTTTGCCAAAACCAAGCCAATCAAATGCACTGTTACATGATGGTATGTCTGTAACAACCAATGAGATCCATGTATACAGACATTTCACAGTTATTGCTGCAGCTAGCTGACATCACATGTCTACAGCAACCAATGGGATCCATGTATACAGACACCTCATAGTTATTA